CACATCTACACACACATACACACACACATACACACATCTACACACAGACACATACACCTGCACACACACTCTCACACACATCTACACACACAAGAAATGACGTAAGCTCCATGATCAAAACTGCCAAAAAGAATTTCATCAATATCAAAACTGAGGAAAACTAAAATAAACCCCGTGAACTTTGGAAATTACTCAATAACCAGCTTGGCTGCAGTAAAAAACTCAAAACGAGAATTTCTAACTTAAACATAAAGACAGATAACAGTCATCACAGACAAACTGGATGTGGCCAAGTACTTGAACATTTTTTTCACAAACATAGCCACAACTCTTGTAAATAAATTACCCTCCCACTCAGGGCGTTTTGGAGTAGATCACATCATGACCTACTACAAAAACCTAGGGGTACGCAAAGATGATTTCAGTCTAGCAAGGGTAACAACAGCAGAGGTACTCATTAAACTGAGCGCCCTCCAACCTAACAAGGCCACTGGCCACGACAATATCCCCTCCAAATTCCTCAGAGACACAGCAACCGCCATCTCACCAGTCATAGCTCACATAATTAACCTCTCCATAAAACAGGAACACGTACCCAAAGACTTCAAAATTGCAAGAGTAACCCCCCTACACAAAAAGGGCAGCAAATTGGACCCAGGCAACTACCGCCCTGTCTCTATACTTACCTCCATCTCGAAAGTCATGGAAAAAATAGTATATGAACAGGTCGAAAAGTACCTCGCGGAAAAGAAACTAATCTATGAATTTCAATCTGGCTTTAGAACATCCCACTCCACTGACACATGCCTTCTTTATTTGAGCGACCACATCAAACAAGAGGTGGACGAGGGCAAGTACTGCGGCATGGTGATGCTGGACCTACAAAAGGCTTTCGACACTGTCAATCACCCCATTCTGATTGACAAGCTAAAAGCAATTGGTTTTGATAAACTATCGGTGAGCTGGATGCAATCCTACCTGGAGGGGAGAGAACAGATGGTGGAGGTAAACGGTACTCTGTCCCCCCCCCCCCCCTCCCAGTGAGCTGTGGTGTTCCACAAGGAAGCATATTAGGTCCGTTACTGTTCCTAATTTATGTAAATGACATGTCATCAGCATGTGACTGCAACTTGTTCCTGTTCGCGGACGACTCAGCCCTGCTGGTCTCTGGCAGGAACAGGTTGCAGGTTGAAAAAACCCTCAGCTCCGAGCTCGGCAGAATCTGCACCTGGCTCGCCGATAATAAATGATCATTACACCTGGGTAAAACAGAGTCCATTCTCTTCGGTTCGAAACATAATCTCAGCAAATCCGACGACTTCTCAGTTGCAGTGGGCGACATTATTGTCACAAGTAAGAAGGAAATGACATACCTAGGATCTATTCTTGAGGCAAACCTCTCCTGTGATAAAATGGCATCCAGTGTAATAAAAAAAGTCAATCAAAGAACTAGATTCCTATACCGGATCTCCTCTCTGGTAAACAAGAACACCCTGAAGACTCTGGCAGGAGCACTCATTCAAGGGTACTATGACTATGCTTGCACGTCATGGTACCATAGCACCTCCAAGGCGCTACAAATAAAACCTCAAACATCGCAAAATAAACTGGTCAGACTACTGCTTGACCTTTCATCTAGAACCCACCTCACCTCTGCCCACTTTGACAACCTAGGATGGCTTAGAGTAGACGACAGAGTACAGCTACTTGCAATGGGCCTGGTCTACAAGATCCACTACACCTCTATGGTACCCATGTACATGTCAAAATGCTTCCCAAAGGTCAAGGAATACCATGATCATAACACCAGAGGGAGCTCCACAAATCATGTGAAACCCAGATTTGGCACAAAAAAGGGGGAATACACGTTTCGCAATTATGCCACATCAAGGTGGAACGCTCTTCCCACAACTGTAAAGGAAAGTAAAACTATACTTACCTTCAAAACCTCTCTTAAAGAGCACCTTCGGGGGAGAGCATTGCAAAACTGGCCCCGGTAATGGTACAAATCTCAACCTGTCGTTCAATGGACAGCTTCCCCCCCCCCCATCTATGTATATACTCGCATTTTAGACTGTTACTAACTGTATATCTGTAGACTTGGTATGTCTTAAATGTCCGGTTAGGATGTATTAGAACCAAATCTAAAATGTAAATTGTAAATAAGCCATCTGTATGTCTTATATGTCTTAAATGACATGATGAATTGGAAATGGGGGACCCTGATGTAAACAAGACGAAAGTCTTTCTCTGGTCTGCATCCCCTTAACAATTGTATGTTTTGAGCTGTACTGTACTGTACCCAATATACAAGCTGTTAATAAACTTTTCAATCAATCAATCAATCAACATCTACACACACATACACACACATCTACATACACACACACATCTACACACACGCACACACCTACACACACCTACACACACACATTTTGTTCTGCCTTTTTCTTTTGCACTTTTCTTAAACATTGTAAAAATATATGTTGCATTAATAAACCTGCATTTCATTCCAGACATTAGCATTTCGCACTCAGGTATTTATCATCAGGACTGAAGCGGCTTCAAACTGATTTGAATACATGTCATAGTAGAGTAAGAGTGACTCCAGCATCACATGGATCAAGAGTGTGTGATATCGTCTGTGTGTTCAGTGCGACACATGGCCAAGACGCAGGAGAACACGGCGACGCAACAGTCGGCTTCTGGTGCGTCAGGGGCCAGGCCTTAAAGGGTTAAACATTTAACGTAATGTTGTTATCTGGATTAAAGTAAAGATATCAGTGAGAGTGAAACTAATAAAGAGAGGGGGTGTTTAACTGCATGATGTAATGGGGGGGGGGGGGACTTTCTACAACAACTTTCCCCGGTGTGTGCGTGTGTGTGTGTGTGTGGGGGGGGGAACTCCGGGTTAACGCCCCCCTTCCCTTCAGGAGAGCTCTAAAGCGGAAAGTGAAAGTAGGCTCCAGAAGGAGAATGGCCCGCGGGAGCTCAACACCACGGCACGGTAACCCTTTAGCATTCATATTTATTATTATCATGATTATTATGATTATTGTATTATTATAGTGTGTGTTGATGCTGAGTCACGGTAGATACCGGGCAGGCTTCACGGTGCAGCAGGTCTCAGTAGCGGGTGAGGTGCGTGTGCGTGTGTGAGCTGCAGACATGAAGGCTGCACGAGACTTGACTGATTTGGACACGATGAGAGAGGGCTGGCTGTTTCATCTTGAGCAGGTCTCCCTTGAAAAAGAGATCAATGATCTCAATGGGATACACCGTGTGTGTGTGTGTGTGTGTTTTAATGAGTGTGTGATAAATAATGAGTGTATGGTAGTGTGTGTGTGATACAGCGTTTGATAGTGTGTGTGTGTGTGTGTGTGTGATACATAGTGTGTGTGTGATACAGAGTGTTTGATACAGAGTGTGTGTCAGGTGTGTGTGTGATAGTGTTTGTTAATGAATGTGTGTGTGTGTGTGATAGAAAGCAGACTGCCTCAGATTTAGCCTCCTGTTACTTCCTTCCTTCCCTTGCTTCCTTCCTGAAGGGACCTTAGATGAACTCCTCCTATCTGATGTGTTTGGCACGTTCCTTCACGGTGTTCTCTCTCTGTGACTCAACAGGATTTACTTGTGTTTCCATCTGAGGGGAAGGGTCCCTCATATATATATATATGTATATATATATATATATTCAAATATATATATATATATTCATATATATATATATATATTCATATATATATATATATATATTCATATATATATATATATATATATATTATATATATATATATATATGTATATGTATATGTATATGTGTGTATATATATATATATTCATATATATATATATATATATATATTTATATATATATATGTATATGTATATGTATATGTGTATATATATATATATATATATATATATATATATACAGAGAAAAGAAAAAAAAAGAAAGAAAGAACAAACAGAGACTTTCGACCCAAACCCAGCTGTTGACTTGTGGATGCAAGCAGCTAATCACAGTGAGGAGAACAGTCAGGAGGGTAGTGATGACAGCTTGTAGGATTACTGGTCGTGCTACTGTTGTCTTGTGTTCACCTCTGCATGTGTGTTCTGTGTTCACCTCTGCATGTGTGTTCTGTGTTCACCTCTGCATGTGTGTTCTGTGTTCACCTCTGCATGTGTGTTCTGTGTTCACCTCTGCATGTGTGTTCTGTGTTCACCTCTGCATGTGTGTTCTGTGTTCACCTCTGCATGTGTGTTCTGTGTTCACCTCTGCGTGTGTGTTCAGTGTTCACCTCTGCATGTGTGTTCAGTGCCGTGTGTCTGGCAAATAAAGTCAAGACCGGTTGAAAGTTACGGTTTATTTCATTTTAAGGATGAGCACCAAGCAACATCTCCAGGTGCACGACGCTGAAGTTGGCTTCCGATTCAGAGCATCCGATTCGGCAGTTAAGGGGAAAGTTAAGGGACATTTAATTTACAGCGCTGAGCGAACAATCCTCCGTGTTTAAACCTCTTAAATCGCTGCATAGCCGATTTATTTGGACTGGATTATCCCAGAGGGTCTAAAGATTCTTTATAACACAGTTTGAGATTTATGAAACCTTTTTTCTATTCGTGAAAAAACAAAAAGTGAGATTTCAGTGCTTTTTTCACATGTAGACCACATTAGATCAGAGGCCTCATTTATAACGCCGTGCGTAGGATTCTCGTGGGAAGGTTGCTTACGTAGTAGAAATCCAAAAAATAGGTACAGAAATGTTCCGACATTTTCCGATTCACCAAACATTGCGCACCGGCGAGGAAAGTGCGTACGGCACTTCCTACGCCGGTTTCCTTTATAAATCACAACCGACTCGAAATGCGGTGCAGCTTTTGCAGGGCTTCACGTAACGCCCATATCTGCCTATAAATAGTCAAAGAAACGCCCATTCATTGATTCATTCTGACTGACTGCGTGAAGGAGATCGCAGGAAATGAAGACATCTCACACCGTGTCAGATTTTGGTTATTTTGGGGAGGTCGAGATAACTCATATTGTTTGGTGGATGCAGTTTGAACCAGAGTACAGTGGCGGTTCTAGACCAATTTGACTGGGGGGGCCACTGGGGGGCCAGTTATTTTCTGAGGGGGGCAATAAATGCAGGACGAAAAAGAGAACTAGACAGTATGAAGTAATTGCGCATAAGAAAACAATGCAATACAGTTATTGGTATTTGTTTCAGTACACTTATTTATTTCAGATAGATCTTATAGTTATTACTGTTAGCTTCAGCTTAAGTTATAGTGCAATGTTTGCACTAACACCATATTTATATAAAAATAAAGGCAATGAACAGTTTCATCTCTACTTTACATAAGGGTGTCTGCACAATCTCACATTACAGCAACAAAATCCTGCGGTTTTTGGCAAACCGAGTTCCAGAAAATATACATTTAAAAAAAAAAGTCAGTGTTAGGGGGTCACTGGCCCCCCTAGAACCGCCCCTGTCAGAGTAGCAGCATGGAGGTCGGATCGTCACCAAAATAAATAAATAAGTGGTCCGAAAAAGGTTAATGACAAAAAAAAATACACATAGCCTTCCTCAGGCAGTGTGTTTGCACCGGGGACAGGAGACCCCCCCCCTTGATGAGAAACTAAGAAGTGATCGGGGAATCCCTCCGGAGTGGAGTCATGACGACTGATCTGAATTATGTGTTTGTATTTGGTGGTTTGTGTTCCAGCTGTCGATCAGCTGTGCGCAGCGTCTCCACTGCAGCCTGTGCGTCTCAACCCCCCCCCCCCCCCCCGCCCCCGCCCCCCCAGCAACTCTATATCCACCAGTTAAAGGAAATACAACTAATGTGTTGTGTTATATTAGCTGTACAATTGACCACATATGGTGTTCTTAGCTTCCATACCTCCTGTGTTTTACGAGCGACTTATCAAGTCTTGGCAAACGGCATAAAACACGATTAAACGTGATAGTATATAAAACCATGCTCGTATCTAACCTATAGAAATGCAACACGGCGTCAGTTTAAAGTAATTCTGTCCTCCTGCTCACCGCATCATTTATGAGAAAACATTTCATAACATTAACACAACATATTCCAGGTGGTTTTAAATAACATATCCGTATTTATTTATTCCTCCAGGTGGTGTGTGTGTGTGTGTGTGTGTGTGTGTGTGTGTGTGTGTGTGTGTGTGTGTGTGTGTGTGTGTGTGTGTGTGTGTGTGTGTGTGTGTGTGTGTGTGTGTGTGTGTGTGTGTGTGTGTGTGTGTTTTAATCAATGTTTGAAAATGAATTCTTCATATCTGATAAATGAGAGGTAACGTTTTATTTATGGTATTATTTCCACATATTTCTCTCCATTCTTCCTTCTGCCAACGGTGTCGCAGTTTCTCGTCTCTCCCGTTGTCGTGCTTAGTGCGTACGCATGGGTCAGAGTTTGCGTGGAGTTTTCCCTCTCCCTCCGCTCCACTTTAATACAAATGATCCCAATACGTATGATTGATGAAAAGATAAATCAATACAGATGTATTTATTATAAACGTTAGTCCTTAACATCTATCACTGTGTATATCACCATTCAAACATCTTTTAAAAGTTGAACAAACCCCACAGCTCAGTAAAGACTGAGAGATGTTGACTTTATTTGATCATTTCAGTAAAAACTAACGTTCATATTTCTCTCTTTGATTATAATACTGATGAACGTTCAGAACAAAGCACTTTGGCAACTTACCACATACGTTTTAAAAAGCTTAATAAGCACCGTAACTTTCATGATATCATTTCTCCGTCATAATCGGTTGTTTCCGTGAACGGCCGACTGTTGAGTGACGGCAAATGCTGCGGCTGCAATGCATTGTGGGGCAGCATTTTCTCCTCTCCTTTCGGTTAGGGGGGTCCAGTGGTTCCTAAGCTAAAGGAGGTTATAAAGGAAGTTTGAAACCTCCTTTCCTATCATCTAGAGCAGTGGTTCCCAAACGGTGTGCCGTGAGGCAAGTCCGGCTGTGCCGTGGGATTTTGTGACAACCATACGTTATTATTGCAATATACAACTACACAAAAATAATTACTTTTTAATTTACTATATCAGTACTTTGTAGGTTTATATTTACGTAACCTGCACGACTTGTGCGTCCACATCTCCACGTGCAGTGCTGCATAAACATGGCTGAGTCAGCGATAGCTCTCGAGGGGTGGAGGTATGCCCATTACTTTGAGTTCGTCCGAAGAATAGACAGGAATGTGACGGTGAGGTGCAAACTGTGTCCAGAAGCTGTTCTCCACTGCTGGAAACACCACGTGGTCAAACCTCAACAACACCTGCAAAGAACACATGCTAAGGTGAAGCTACCGCACAGCTATTAGTTGTTGGTTTATATCACGCAGTCTGTTCTTCTTCTCTGTCTTCCTGTTGTCTGTTTTGAATGACAAATACACACTACCGCCGCCTGCTGGTAAGGAGAGTTATTGCCACTCACGCATGCATGTACATGCTCGGCGAGTAAAGTAACGAGTTACTTTATGTAGATAGTAACGAAGTAGTGTAATATATTACTTTTTTAAAAGTAATTTGTAATATATTACATTTTTTTAGTAACGACCCCATCTCTGGAGTTGGCGTTCTCTACTCTGATTTACATGAAGAACAACCGGAGGTCACGGCTCTCTGTTGAACAGGACTTGCGAGTGGCCCTCTCCTCAGTGCCACCAAGGATTACAAAATGATGCGCGCCCCGACAGGCACATGTATCTCACTCATTTGTAAATCGGCAAAATATTTACAATAGCACATGTTTCAATGCTGATTGCTGAAATGTTACATTTATAATTTGTAGTTCAGGACCATGGACAAAGCAGCTTCCTTGCATTGACAGTTCTCTGTGCTGAATTTCTGCTGAGTTTCCTTTGCCTCATTTTTTATGTTGTGACCTGTCTGGTTTAAATGAGTGTGTTGCTGCTTTGATGAAGCCTAATTTGATAAAGTTTCAAATTAATTTCTGAAATA